AGCCCAGAACCTCCCAATCCTCCAAACTAAAGGAAATGAGTCCAAAAAATTATAACCTATTGGGAGAGGTCACTGACCAGCCACTATACTGTAGCCAATTATCAATTCTGATCACGTGACAAGCTATTACTTTGCTTCTGGATCTCTGAAAAGCTGTCCATGTAATTACTGTAATGACCTTAATGCTAGGCAGATACAACTGCATGGGCTCAAACAATGCCTGCTACACCTCTAATGGGGTGTGTTAGCAGCAATTTGGAGATGGTGGCATTAAAATCTGTCACAGCCTCTTCACCAGACTGACCAGAAATGTTTATGTTAAAATTAAGGAAAATATAATAATAATAATATAATAAAAACAATTTATATATTTTTTAAAACTGACAGTTGCAGTGTGATATTGCACAAAATGAATTGCTCACTCATGGGGGATAAACTCCCTCATGTCGTCGCCTACACAAACAACACAACTGTTCAGTTACACATACAGAGACACACTCTGATACAATACACAGTGACCACTGAGCACCCCCTTCTACAAATCCATCCATTATCTGTAACAGCTTATCCTTTGCAGAGTCGCGGGGGGCTGGAGCCAATCCCCGCTGACCCTGGGCGAGAGGCTGGGTACACCCTGGACAGGTCACCAGTTCGTCACACGCACAGAAAACAACCATTCACACTCACATTTACGCCTACAAACAATTTGAAGTCACCAATTAACCGGTCACTTCCCCTTCTACCCATTCAAGGTAAATTAAACCCACCAATCGCCGCTCATATGCATTAATGTGCCAGCACGCACACTTCCAAGTAGTGGATCACTCTCTAACAAGGCCCTATAATCTGGCATTTGGCTTCACACTTACGGTCATCGGTCTTAATCCTCAACCAAAACAGCAGCTGATTTAACACACAAGCGTCACACAGCCACACAGACACAAACATGCATGTGCACACATACACACATATAGACTGCAAGAAAAACAAACACACACGCACACTAGTACATACTGTACAGTACAAGACAAAAAAACATGCAGACGTGCATTCTTCCTATTGTTATTGCTGTGTTTATTATTACTATATTAACCTCTAATATACCACTGATATTAATAAGTTATCTCTTTAATTAGAAAGCAGGTTTGTCCTCCAACTTCAAGGGACAGGCTGAGTCTTATCCTCAACCTGTTTGGCAGCCGTCCAATCACAGGATTTGTGGTCACATTACTTAAGGGCGGCTCTAACCCATAAATGTCTATTGGAGTTCACAACAGATGAAAAAATAATCACGGTGAAAGCACGGGAGAAGCAGATACATACCTCTTTTTCACGCTCAATCTGTAGTCCAGCTTCCAGTAGACCTGCTTCAAACTCCTCCCTCATCACAGCCTTTTCCTCCTCAGACAGCTTTGACTCCTCCACATCCCCTGCAGGTGCACCTGCCTCCCCAGACTCTGCTTCTTCCCATCGGGCCTGTATCTGTATCGGTATACTCCCATTGGATGTAATGGAAAGGCGTGACTTGGATGCCCGCCTTTTTTTGTATTTGTAGCAAAGGACGTAGTCCACTTTTCTCTTGCCATCAGCGAAAAAAAGCCCAGGGCCTAGATCGATGCCGGACTCCTACACAAACACACAAAAGCACACACAGGTAATTAATGAGGTAAGTCATGAGGGTTTCAAGTGAGGGAATTCAGGGAGAAATATAGTGTAAGGGCATGCCAATTAGGCAAAGCTCCATGTGTGTCAGTTCAGGGAGGGATAACCTGAGCTGGGAGAGAGCTGACATATACTGCTGCAGGTTGTTAAAGCTACAGCATGTGAGTGTTAACGTTGAGAAGAGGCCGTACCGGAGGAGGGGGTTCGTCATTGTCAGGTAGGTTGATAGGGCATCCATTGGCGGCGTCAAGCCCAAGCCCGGACAGCGATCGGGCCAATGAAACAAGCTTCACCGAGTGAATGGACGACGACTCACTCATTTCTGTGGTGACAGGCATACGTTCTTTTCCGTTTCATCCCTCTGTTGGCACATGAGAAGAAAAACAGGAGTTTAGTATTCAGAGACCTGACAGCTCTGGCTGTAATTGTTCCATTAATGGTTGAGCCATTCATTCAAGTAGGATCATAAGTGCTGCTGTTGTTGCTGGGTGTGTGTCAATTACTTTCTTGTTTGATAAGAATATTTTTTATTGGCCTGAACCAAAAAATTATCCAATAATTCACAAGAAAAAAAGCAATTAGTAGAGCAAAGTCTAAAAATGTAAAAAATAATGGTGTGTAACAGAATTTCCTGTTACTATGGAAGCCCATTAATGCCACTTAATAAAAGAATAATCCACCTAATTCTTAGAAATAACTGTTTTTCCTCATTATTATGACTTATTAACTCATATGTGATACTATCTCATAGCAGGATATATTTCCTAATGAAGAGCTACTACCGCATTAAATAGTGTGCAATTATTTCTGCATAATAAATCATTAAGCAACAATTTTACCCATAAATCTTTTTTTTTCTCATAAGGAATTCTGATATAATAATGAAAAAACTGCATTTTTAGCAGAATTGTGCTTCCATTTGTTTTCACATCTGGAGACCCCTCAACATGATCATTTGAGCCCTCAAGGGGGTCCTGACCCCCAGGTTGGGAACCACTATTTCAGCCTATAAAAAGC